GAGAGAGCACTGACAGTGCTGCCAGTCTGAAGACTCTGACGCTCTGAATTGAACTGCAAAGTTCGAACTTTTAAGTTATACATGAAGTTATGAACTTAAATTACTAAATCCAAAGTTCAAAGTTAATCATACTTTTTTCAAAAACAATTCTCTGTTTCTTTAGTCTTTTGCCTGCTTTGCACTGTTTGCAACTCTGCATGTCTGCTAGTTAAATGTGCTGGTTGATTTGCTGCAAGACACGTGCTCCGCTGCCTGAACTACAGAGTGCAAAGCAGGTCAGTGCCTGCCAACACCCCCACCCAACCTTCCCCACCCTCCCGTTTTTTTTTTTGTTTTTTTTTTCGGTCCAGACCTTTTTGCACCCCGGGGACCGGTCCGGACTGTCCGGTGTCCAGGTCCGAGGTTACCATGCTTACAACACTCCACCCAAAGATAAACAGATTCACTTACAAGAAAACAAATAGAACCCAACACATCACCAGCTCAGCCATAGATTACTTTCTAGTATCCGGCGGTCTGGTAGCAAGTAGTAGTGGACATGTTCCTGTACAACCTTCTTTATTTCCCCAATCGGTGGTTGCCGCTACAGGGCAGTCACAAGTGCAACAACCTTTGCAACAGGGTCCGCAGCAGCAGAAACAACAGTTGCAGCAACAGCAGCAATTGCCGCCACAGCGACTTGTTCCACCGGTTTCACAACTGATGCAGCATGCACAAGGAGTTGTACCACCCATGCAGTGGACACCCAAGATACCCTTGCTGAGTCCTAAACCCTTCTCTGGCGACAAGAAGAAGGACGAGGACCTGGATACCTGGGTGAGGACTGTGACTACTTCTGTGAGGCACAAGCTCATTAGTACAAAGGAGGAAGTCATTATCGCTGCGTCCTTCTAGAGGGATCTGCAGCCAGATGGTGGAATGGGTTACTACAACAACAGGACTATGGTCAAAACTTCGATGGTTGGGCACATAGCAGATCGCTGGAAGAGTTCGTACGGTTAGTCTACAACGGGTGGCATGATCCCCAAGGGCCTTAGAAGGCCACCGACTCACTGGCTAGTCTGGGATCAAAAAGATACCTAATGGTTCGCGAGGTAACAAACGTCGTAGAGCGACTGATCGTTGTCCTTGGTGTGCGGTATGAACCACAACTGCCTACAAATATTAAAAATAAGTTGGTCAATGAGGCCTCCATAGATGTACATCACTTTGCTTTTTTCAGCAAGAAGGCCTTAGACATTAAGGCTAAGCTTGGGAGTGCCTAGCAGGGACCGGTAGATGGGAGAAAGAAAAAGTTACCTCAAGATTGGAAGAAGAAGGGCAACCTCATGTTCATTCACCATGACGGTCAAGCGACTGAGATTGATGACTTCTCTAACCTTGGGGAAGTAAGAGAGTTGGATGGGGGTGGGGACACTTCAAATGGTGGAGTGGTCGCTCTTCTCAAGGAAACGACTAAGGGGGCCGAAAAACAGAAGGCTGGTCGGCCCAAGGGTCAATATGACCAAGGAACACCAATATGGCTAAAACTTGGTCTAGAGTACGCAGTGTGGCGAGATCGCGTTACAGTATGGTCACACCATGGCTAAGAGCAAGAGTAAGCGGGGAGCCACGAAGGTCGCGTCCTCAATAGTGACGGCCGGATCTTCAAGCTCTGGTGGCTTTTCTGCGAGCACTTCGCAGGGAAACACCTCGAGCCAGTAGGAGTGTTAGCCGATCTAACTCGTGCTGAAGTGGTAACCTTACCTTCTCCATTTCAAACGAAGGCCAAGGTTATTGACCCATTGATCGCCCTGCAAACAGATCTAGACCAATCGATGCTCTATTCGATGGATGTGTCTGAGTCCTTAGAAGTTAGAAACTGAGTGGTTAGAGAACAACGATGTTGAACAAAGGTCCAAAAGGTGAACATTTCGCGGTAAGAGTCAATGTAGGTAGCCGAAAGGTTGGCGCCTTCGCAAACATAGGTTCTACACGAAACTTCATCAGTCATGCTTATGTGGATAGGCTGCGCTTCGGGGACCAAGTGCAGCGACTTAGCAGATTTGTGGCATCTACCTTAGCCAACAAGCACTCTATGGTAGTAAAGGGCTATGTGAAGGACGTAGTCTGCACCTTCTCCTATGGAGGAGGGGAATTGAAACACAAGATCTCATTCCTCGTTAGCGACGAGCTGCCATTCAACATGTTACTAGGCATGTACTACCTCGAGGTTGCTAAGCCTCAGTTCAATTGGGATAGTAAGGAGATGATCCACAAGTTGCCATATGGAACGACTGTTACGCTGCAAAAGTTTAAGGCTAGCAGACTAGTGGAGAATTGTGGTTGCATGTGCGCGTCGTCTTCTATAACTACTACAAGCAAAATCACGATGAAGGTATGTACTTCATCTTTGTCTCTGAGAAACGGGAGGCCATAAAATCACCCCCAAAAATAAAAGCAGTCGTTGCACAGTATTCATACCTTTTTTAGGAGCCTAGGGGTGTGGTTGAAAGGGAGATTCTTCATGCAATAGAAGTCATCCCCGATAGCGAAGTACCTAGAGGACAAACCTATAGGGTGTCTCCTGCGGAGTTAGATAAGCTCCGCCGCCAGCTCAAGGAGCTCACAGAGAAGGGTTGGATTCGGCCAAGTACGTCCCCCTACGAAGCGCTAGTTCTATTTGTCCCCAAAAAAGGGGGGACCCTAAGGATGTGCATTGACTATAGGGGCCTCAATGACATCACCGTTAAGAATGCAGAGCCCCTACCACGCATTGGCGACCTCTTAAATAGAGTACGGGGATGCCGGTATTTTATTAAGATAGATCTGAAGTCCGGATACCATCAGATTGCCATTAGACCGAAGACCAGCACAAAACCGCCTTTCATACCAAGTACGGTTTGTACGAATTTGTGGTGATGCCCTTTGGCCTGTGCAATGCTCCTGGAACGTTCTAGCACGCAATGAACCAGATCTTTCATGAGTACTTAGACAAGTTTATCACTGTGTACCTGGACCATATCCTTATCTTTAGTAAGACTGTAAAGGAGCACGTTGAGCACGTGAAAACAATGCTAGAACTCCTAAGACAGCACCAGTACAAGGTTAACTTGGAGAAATGCGGATTTGATCGCACCAAGATTTTGTATCTGGGTCATGAGATTTCCGCGGACGGTTTGAGGCCGGACAATGCTAAAGTGGCTCGCATACGTGACTGGCCCAGACCTTAGTCTGTGGCTGAGGTGAGGTCGTTCTTGGGGATGACAGGCTACTATCCTCCATTTGTGAAAAATTACAGCAAGATAGCCTTTCCACTAATTGACCTCACGCGCCTTGACACCCCTTGGGAGTGGACCGAAGAGTGTGAGGCACCCTTCAAGAGATTGACGTCTACGTGGTGAGGTTCGGAACCACTAACCCGGTTGCACACTTATCACCATGGTTGAGACCCGTAGTGGGAAGGAGACTAGTCCCTACACCACGGAGCAGCAAGAAAAGATGGCCGCCTTAGTCAGAGAGAGTTAAGGAGAGGAAAGAGAAAGCAAGCCAAGCTGAAGGCTATCGCAAGCGAGCAGGCGGCGAAGATGAAGAAATTGGAGGAGGAGATGAAGAAAGTACAACAAGAGAGAGGAAGAAAGAAGAAAAGTTGCTGAAGCAGAAGCGGCAGCAGAAGAAGAGAAAGAGAGGATGAGGATTGAGAGTGGAGAAGGGAGTAGTGGTGGCATGATGACAAGGGAAACAGATACAGGGCTAGAGAAGAAGATCAGCGAGTGGGTCGCTAATTTATCGTTGGGGAAGACGAGGAGGCGAGGTCCTATGTAACTAAGGATGAGAAGGCTGCGCTGGCCGCCGAGCTAGCAGCCATGACAGACCCGATGGAACGAAGAGAGAGGGAGGAGGAACAAAAGTTAGCATGGAAGCTGAGGATGAAGAGAGAGAAGAAGAAGAGGAGAGAGGAAGTGAACAAGATGACCGCASAGGTGGCAAAGGTGCAGGAGTGTAGAGCGATGGTGCTGGCCCAACCAGACGATAAGGCCAAGTGGGACAAAGTACTGGGGTATCTGGAGGTGTTGAGTAAGGCCTGGATGGAGGAGCGCCAGGCAAGCTGGAGCCAGGATGTAGCGTTGAGTGCCATGCGGTCAGGGTTAAGAGATTTCGCGCGCGAGTTCGTCACCCATATTGGGGG